AAAAATTACAAATGGATATTTATAGCAGCTTTATTAGCAACTGCCATAATTGGAAGCAATCAAGATATCCTTCAATGGGTTAACTGATAAATAACTGATAGAACTTTCAGACAATGAAATGCTATTCAGCACCAAAAAGAAAAGACATATCAAGTCATGAAATGACATGGAGGTAATCTAAATGCATATTACTAAGTGAAAGAAGTTAGTTTGAAGACACTAACATACTGTATGACTCCAATTATATGACATTCTGAAAAAGGCAAAACTATGGTTGCCTGGATCAGTGGATGCCTGGGGTTAGCGGGAGGAAAGAATAGGTGAAGTACAGAGTTTTTTTAAGACAGTGAAACTATTTTATATGATACTATAGTGGTAGATATATGGTATTAAACATTTGTCAAAACCCATAGAATCTACAACACCAAGAACGAGCCCTAATGTAAACGATGGACTTTGGGTAATAATGTGTCAATGTAGGTTCATTAATTGCAACCAATGTACCACTGTGGAGGGAATGTCTATGTTGGGAGAGGTTGTGCCTGTTTGGGAGAAGAGGGTATATAGGAACTTTCTGTGCTTTTGGAACAATTTTGCTGTGGATCTAAAACCACCGTAAAAGAAAAATCTATTGATAATTGTTTTTAAAAAGACACACACACACACACAACTGCTTGGTCTTCTTCAATAAGATTTTTCTGTCCCAGCAGGCTAAATACTAGTCATCATCACCTGGCCCCAATGTTATTTTCAGACTTTAGGTCTTTGTTCTTACTGTTTCATTCAGCTGAAATGTCATCTTCCTTACTGCTTGCCCACCTAAATACTACCCCCAAATGCATCGTCTAACTTAAGCCTCACTTCTCCACAAGGCCTTTGGAGTCTCTCCATTATGGCCAAAACATGGCAAAGGAAATCTGAGTTTCATCATAACTGCATTCTAGAGAGACAAGTGGGTAAAGGGACATGTCAGCACATAAATAGGCAGAAGAGAGGCCGGGTTGTGTCAGATCAGGGCTGGAACCTTGAAAACCAGCTGAGTGTTGGGAGGTCATGCTGGCCATGAGACTGGACTGAGGCGAGACAGGTTGGCACTCCATCAGAGTGAGCAGCCCTGGCAGAGGTGGTGGGAACATAGGCGGTCAGACAGTAAGTTGGGCAAAATCACCATCAGTAAGTTGGGTTCAAAACAGAAAGGCAACAGAAGGGTGAATGAAGAATTAAACAAAAATAAGATAAAACAGTAAACATTTCATGTTGCCAGGCACACTTCATGGCCAAGGTCTGTAACGTTGAGCTTGTTAAGGAGGTTTCTGAGCAGCCCCAGCCAGTGCTGGTTCAGCTCACTCCATGAAAATCAACTGGCTGCTCTCAGTTGGAAAAATATCAGAATGAGCTGGGGAGTTTTTGCTTGTTTGTTTTTAAACCACACCAGGCTCCCCGCTAGTTCCTCCTGCTCTCCTGTCTAACCTCCTCCAAAAAATATACCAGCACAAACTTGGGGCAGGAATACCATTCTTACATTCCCCTTACTATTTTCAAATATGCTTAGTAGAAATTCAGAATCTTAGCTCCCACCCCAGTCCCTCTGAATCAGAACCTGCATTTTTAAACCTGTTACTGACTTGAACTTCAAGAATCTAAATTTCAACAAGATCCCTAGGTGATTCCTATGTACAACAAAGAAATACACAGACCACAATATTAATAGTGGTGAAGATTAGAAACACCACCCTAAGATATGCTAGAATCAGGAAAGTTCTGGAGGGTTAATATAGTCTGAAGACATTTCTCTGGTTGGGAACCCTAGTCTAAGGAGAAGATGCTCTCTGGGGACTTGAAAGCCATATTTATCTCCCTTCTCTCTGAATTTCCATAATACGCTACTATATATTAATTATGTCAGTGATTATCAATTATTACAGCTGACCTGTAGTCAACAACGATGCAATCAATCATTCAATAAATATTTCCTGGACACCTATGAAGGCCAGGCATTATTCTGGGCACCAAGGAACTGTAGCTAACAAAACAGACCAAATCCTTGTTCCTTATGGAACTTATATTCAAAAGAGGGAGAGACAATAAAGAAATAAATAAAATATTATATAAGGTAGCCATAAGTGATAACTTAAAAAGAAAAAGAAAAGAGAGAGAGAGTGGGACAATACAGGAGGTACACCCTATTGTTAACTCAATTGGAAATTTCTACAGGGTAGGTAGGCCAGGTAAGCTTCCTCTTTTCCCCTCTGGGTCTGCTCACCTCCCTATACCACACTGCTCTCCTGCCCCTGCAGATCTAGCAACCCTTGTCCTCAGGCTTCTTGTCAGTGTCTGCCAGTGGGGGCCCTGACAGGAGCCTGGAGGAGGAGGAAGAATGAAGTTGTGCTCCACCTCCGAGGCCATCTCAGGTTTGCCGAGTTACTTCCCCAAAGGAAGGTGACCTGTTCCAGTAACTATCCTCCTCCCTTGCCAGTTCAGGCCTTTGTAGGTCGTTTCTTTAACATTAAGACCTCACTGAATTATCTTAGATACAGTATGAAGACACATCCTCTTACATGTAGGTACAGAAAGTTTGATCTCTTACAATTTTTTTTCCTGTTTTTCTCCATATCCAATACTAGGGGGTCAAGTCTTTTACCTCTCAGTCAAGAACGACTCACTCCTCAGACCTCATAGAGTGTTACTGCCATTAGATGGCAGTGTATCTAAATGATATTAACTGCTTCTTGTAAGGTGTAGAAACTATTTTGGGGCTTGAATTTATAAAAATAAATAGGGATGACAGACATTTCACAGTAAAACAGAACAAACAACAACAATAACAAAACCCAAGAAGCACCTTCAAAAAACTTAAGAGGACTATCAATAAATAACCATAAGTAGAGAAAATTTATACTTCAAGATGAATACAAAATATCAATATGCAACATTCTCACGTGACAGCATTTTTGAGATTGTATGCTACAAGAAAAGTTTCAATATATGCAATAACCTTTTAAAATGCACCAAATATTTTACTTATCTCTTACCATTTCTTTCTTTTTTCACGTCCACTTTGGATGATTCTGTTTTAAAAAAAACACATAGATGTATGATGATTAATATATAGCAGGTTCTCAAATTAGTAAAAAAGATTCACGAATAAGAAAAAAAATGACTGTGCTAGATACAGATGGCAGAATTCCATCTAACAGTACTGAAGGGAACTTTTGATCAAGCCATCTGGGCAAGTCACCTGTCGCATCAGAGCAGACCTGGAGACTTTGCCCCCTGTGTGGCTGGTCAAAATTCACAGGTGGGACAGTTTTGTGTTGGTTAAGCAATAATATTGACAGTAGAGTAATATGTTTTCCATGCTTCAAAGTCTACCCAATTCTCAGTAAATGTAAATCCAAGCAGTCAGAGGATAAATGGGAGACTTTAAATTACCAAAGATTTTTTTACATTAAAAAAGGATTAACAATAACATATCTTTAAATAATAGATTAGCCATTGTGTTTAAATGTGACTGAATTGTGCCTTATTTTAACAAGGTTCACTCTGTATTGAATATTTTAGTTGACTAATAGAAGAATCTCAATATCAATGCGTTTTAGTCATACTGATAGAGTACAGAATTTGTGGGTACTCAATGGGGTGAAAGCATAACATTTTGCTATGGTGTCTGTAAAAATTTAACACAGCTTATGAAGACGGCTGACCTCGTTAAAGTATAAAATCATCATTTCTTATGGCTAATATTGTTGCATTAGCTATTCCTCACAATGTCTCTTAATTTCTCTTTTCAGTTATGAGGATCACCACTTTCATTTTCAACTTTAACATTCTTTATATGAGTTAAGTTTATTTCAATGTGTATAAAAATAGGCATACACATTTAATAATCGGCAAAGATGGCTTTTTATTGTCATTTTGTGTCGGGGTCTCACTCTCACCCAGGCTGGAGTGCAGTGACACAATCATGCCTCATGGCAGCCTTAATTTCCTGAGCTCAGGCAATCCTCCCACCTCAGCCTCCTGAGTAGTAGCTGGGTCTACAGGTGAGTGCCACCATGCCTCACTAATTTTTCGATTTTTTGTAGAGATGAGATCTTGTTATGTTGCCTAGGCTGGTCTCCAATTCTTGGGCTCAAACAATTCTCCTGCCTCAGTCTCTTGAAGTGCTTGGATTACAGACATGAGCTACTGTGCCCAGTCAAAAAATGGCTTTTTAAAGTTTAAACTAGGTTAAGCTTGAAGGGGCTATTACTTCTAAAAATTATTATTAGAAAGAAATAGTTTGTGATTAAATGTAATTTAAATATATGTAGTATGAAGAAATGATTTCTTGTTTGGGAACCCTGGGCTAAGGAATGGATGTTCAACTGGGACCTGACAGTCATATTGGTCTCTCTCTTCTCTACTCTCTAGAGTATATCAGCATATATTAGCTATGCCATTGTTGATCAAATGATAGCCTGCATTCTCCCATCCATGCATTCACTCAACAGATATTTCCCGAGCAACTACTGAGCCAGGCATTCTTCTGGATGCTAGGATGCCATGGCAAACAAAATAGACCAAATCTTTATCCTCTTATAGAACTAGTATTCAAGTGAGGGAAACACAGTACACAAATATAATACTATATAAACTAGCAATAAGTGACATTTAGAAAACCAAAAGGAACACTTATTAGATAAATGAAACAAAACCCTCAACTTTGCTCTAGTTATAATACCAAATTTTTTTCCTTTCTTCCCTCCCTCTCTCTCTCCCTCCCTCCCTTTCTGTCTGTCTTTCCTTCACTAGAGATAGGGTCTTGCTGGTCTCAAACTCCTGGGCTCAAGCAATCTTCCTGCCTTGGCCTTCCAAAGTGCTGGAATTATAGGTGTGAGACACCATGCCTGACCAACTATTATTAAATTTTAACCTTGCTCTGAAATCAACATGCATTCTTAAGACTGAATGAGGGTAGGTAAAACAAAAATGTTTTAGGTTTAATAACTTTATGATACCTTGACTGAATGTAACAAAGCGTCTCTGGTTGACATTGAAGTTAGCTTTGCACAGCTGACAGATGATAGAAACTCTGTTGTACAGAGCAGCATGATGGAAAATAGTATACCCAGCCTCATCTGAAACGTTGACTGTGGAGCTGGAGGTTTTACGGCTAAATGTATGGAAAACAGCACATAACCCTCTTTCAACAGCAGACTTCATACCAAATGGGATACTCTAAAAGGAATAAGAAGGCTAAGAATTAGTTTTTTCAAAATTCACCAAGATTTGGTTTAAGGGGAAAAAAGGACATGAAATATATCAACAGAATCACATACTGCTTTCTCACTTTTAGTAGAATTTCCACAAGACACAGGTGGAAAGTTTCTCACTGAGTAATGATTGAAATTGTTTGAGCTATAAACACTGGGAACTTTAAAACATATTTTGGAGAAGTTTTCTTCTTTTTTTTCCCTAAAATACTTTAAAGAAAAAAATGAAGATCAGCAGGATTTTTTTTTTTTCCTGATTTAAGAACAACCTAATTTATTAATTTTGTTTTTGAGTTGAGGTCTCACTCTGTCACCCAGGTTGGAGTGCAGTGGCACAATCATGGCTCACCACAGCTTCGACCTCCTGGGTTCAGGTGGTCCACCAGCCTCAGCCTCTCAGGTAGCTGGGACTACAAGTATGCACCACCACTCCTGGCTTATTTTTTAATTTTCTGTAGCGACGAGATCTCACTATATTGCCTAGGTTGCTCTCGAACTCTTGGACTCAAGTGATTCTCCAGTCTCAGTCTCCCAAAATGCTGGGAATATAGGCATAAACAACCGCACTCGGCCTAAGAACAACTCAATTTAGAAGTCTAGAAACTTGAAATACATCATTATAGAAAAACTTTGTCTTCAAAATGTACAGGTAAATATGACACACTCTTAGACATTTTGACTACTTAATATTTAAACATTTAACTAACAAATTACTAAAGTTTTAAGTTTGTGGGATTAAAACAAACAAGTGGAAAGAAAATACCAGTCTAACCTGTGACATTGGTGAGCTTAATTACTCACTTCCAGAAGCTGTAAATCAAGACTTGTTACAGCAGATGCAGAGACTTGATTCAAGATGTCAGATTTGATCTTTAGGCTTGAAACCTGGCTCTGTCATTTACTGTGTGCCTTGGGGAAGGACCTTAACTCTCCACACCTCAAATTTTTCATTTGTATAACAGGAACGATAATAATAGAACTGGTACCTTAAAATAGTTTGCTGATTTCTAATATTGCCTGACATACAAAATAAGCAATTAATAAGCATTAGCCATTATTAAGATGAATCACAATCCATTTCATCAGCAGTGTGTTTTGTCCTCTGCCAGAAATTCATAACCCAGAATTGCATAGCCATTCAGCTACTAAAATGTGGAACTTTTTTTCGTACTGAAGACTTTCACCCAAGAGAAAAATTTGTTGGAGATATAGTTGCATCAGTAACGTGTTTCATACACTCCATTGTGTGGTAGTTCATGGATTACCTTGCATTTCATAGCTTTTTTGAAACCAAATTTTTTCTTAAACTGCTCATGTAATTGAGTGTCTGTCAATGGCAGCCTCTTCACTCTTAGGTTGTTCACGATTTCATTTATTGCTCCCCACCACTGGGTCTTGTATAGTTGCTGATAGAAAGTTTCAAGTTCAAAATATATCACATAGTAGCTATAACAAAGAGACAGAGAGAGAGAGAGAGAGAGAGAGAGAGAGAGAGAGAGAGAGAGAGATGTTATTTTAACTTTGAAAAATTTGCTACTTTAAAAAATTTTGTATAGCATTTGCCTTTCCTGTATACAACTACTCTTTTTTCTATGCCAGCAAAACTTGATTTTTCAATACCAATGAATATAAAGTGGTAGTTGAAATTGTATTTCATTGTACGTATATTAACATGGTTATCAATGATTATTAATCAAGTCTTTCTTTTTGAGTCAGGGTCTTACTCTGTTGCTAGATAAACACTTCCATTGTGAGATCCTATTGCAACAGCATGCTAGATCTCTCAGTGCAACGGCAATGTGTTCACATCAACTCCCTTACCCGTGACAACCTCTCATCAGGTATAGCTTTTATCCCAGCGGCGGTAGGACAGGTCCTGGAGAAATAAGGGTTTATTCAGGGGAGTCTCCAGGACACTGTTTAATCTGGCAAGGATTGTATATGGAGTATGTGAACAGGTCCTGGGGTCCCAGGGCGAGAGATTGCCCCTTCAGGGGAGAGGCACACTACCAGTCCATTCCAGAGGCATGCGATCTGCTACATGGTTCCCTGTAAAATTATGGCGAGTCACTAGCCACCTGGCCTTTATTAAATAATATTAAATAATAATAAGAAGAAGAAAGAGCATAATAGCATGGAAGTCAGGGAGAGAGAGCAGAAGAGAATGAGAGGAAACCATACATGTAGAGGAGGACCTAAGAGTATAACAGGATAAGGTGGATCTTTCTAATGGACACCCCTTGCAGGCACACACAGTACTAGAGCTCTAGAACTTTCATTAGAAAGATCCACCTTTCACCCTTTATCCTGCTACTCTCCCCACCTCATTTCTCTTGTTCTCCTCGCTGTGATGTATCTAGAAAGAAATATATAATCTTGTTTTTACTTCTTTATGACTTGTTAACACCTCTCCATTTTACCCTTCAACTCACTACAAATAGCCTCTTTTGACCAAAATCCCACTGCAATTTTCTTACCAAGTCATAGCCAAATCTAGGGGGATCTTAAAAGAGTTTGCTGATTTCTAATATTGCCTGACATACAAAATAAGCAATCAATAAGCATTAGCCATTATTAAGATGAATCACAATCCAGTTCATCAGCAGGGTGTTTTGTCCTCTGCCAAGTCTTAAACTGACTTGGACATTTTCTCTGTTGCATTTGATGCTTTTAGCTATTTCTATGTTATTAAAATTTCTCCCCATTTGACTTCCATGCTATTATGCTCTTTCTTCTTATTATTATTATTTAATAATATGCTGCCCAGGCTGGAGTACAATGGCTGTTCATGGGCACGATCATAGCACACTGTGGCCTCAAACTCCTGGCATCAAGCAATCCTCCTGCCTCAGCCTTATCCTGTTATACTCTCTAGGTCCTCCTCTATATGTATCGTTTCCTCTCATTCTCTTTTGCTCTCTCTCCTCTGCCTCTCCCTACTCTGTTTAAAAGTGACTATTCCCCAGAGTTCCAGACTTGGTCCCATCCTCTCACTACTTCCATGCCTTAAAGACAAATAAGCAAGCAAACAAAACCTTCCTATTTGCTTTTAAATCTTTATCTCTAATTCAAACGTTTCCTCTGAGCTCTCTTTTCCATGTTTCCAAATTTCAGTGTCCAAGATGTAAAAATCCAAGAACACAACACGCAAAGGGCAAAAAATACTAGGAGAAACACATCGCCCCCCAAAATGACAGGCCTAACAAGACCTGGCAAAAGAGGGTTTGAAAGCACATTCCTTATGGAAATGAAGTGGTGTGAGCTGAGTCCTCGACTTCCATCCACCCATAGGATTCATGTCAAATTCTACGGGTCCCAATTTCAATGATGATCATGTTAATTATAAGAACTAATTACAAGATCTGAGGATGATTATAAAGACTGTATCAAAGTACTTGAAGTAATAATAATAACATTTAAGATTTTGTTGAGTCCGGATATCATTCATGGGGAGTTATTATTGTTCTCGAATCCCTTGAAAGGTTTTAAGCTAGCCTTTGTATTTTGACACTTTCTTTGCTGTCTACTAATGTTCAACAGGTTGTGGCTGGTGTGAGTCATCACTGAAAGTTCCTTACCTTTTTCCATGAAATTCCATGACTGGTATTGAGTAATATTCTTTGTATCCTGAATCTTCTACAAATGTATTAGCAGCACACTCTCGTATTTTTTCTAAATTTTTCTAAAATAGGAGTTATGTTACTAAAAATGTATCATTAAATGAATCTAATTATAAAACTTGTTTTCTATGAAACCGTATACATGTGAAATATTTTAAATATGCGATCTCAGAAAATCCTGAGTAACTGTATACATCTGATCCCTATTTTGAGAATGAAGGAAAAGTACAAAAGGAAAGATATATAATACAGCAAAGGCAGAAAAGCAATGACAATGGAATGTTTATGCTAAATTCTAGGTGAAGAATAATGGTTCCCACACATTAGAGGATCTCTGCTCTAATGTTGATCTTTCAGGAAAATGGAAGAAAACGTAGTGAGTATCCAGGGATTTCTGCTGCACTCTTTGGTTAACTATTCCAGGACAGATATAGGCCATTGAAAGTCTGTACATTCTGTGAGGATAACAAATGTACCCAGCTCATTTATCATTTTATCTCTGACATCTAATATAGCAACTGACATATACCTGCACTTAATTTATTTATGTTAAAATAATGTGTGAAAGAATGCATGAGTTGTGAGAAGGATCATTTAAAGAACTGCCCAGTGTCTGTACCAACAGGGTTCTTTTTGGTGGAAGAATAGGGTAAAAGAGTTGTGAAATGATAAATCTTCTCAGGAGTGATAATAATTTAAACCTGAAACTCTTCCGAAGTATTCTCGATTGGAGAGGTGCTCATATCAAATTCAATTCCTCCATGAACATGAAAATATTGATTGTCTTTGTAGTGAAAATTCTGGCATCTAAAGTCTCGTCCATAAATAAATGGAGGCAATTCTCGCTCTGTCTTGACCTTGTCATCTACAAAAATGAAAGCAAACTTTTATTTAAAAAGTGAACAACACATAAAAAATTATATTTTAAGAGGTTTGGATTCTCATTCATGTAAACAAAATTCCACATGAAGTTAAAATCTTGGCAATTACTGTCCATAAAATTATTTATGTTGTTAATGTATATAAATACATCAAACATTTAAAAATATATTTCTGAGCATTTTCTATGGCTTCATTGCACAGTTACTTCAAAAGCATAGTCAAAATATTATTCTAATTATTGATTTCTATGAGTGAGCTCAAAGCTAATATCTTACTCCTAATTATCAGAAAAGACTTGAAACTCTCTACCTTAGATTGTTGGCTAAATAAACAAAAAACTTAATCTTAGCTAGTTTAGATTAAAAGAGACACTATAAAGAAATAGGTGGGAAGGGGGGAGTTGGGGAAGAGGGGTAGTGTTCATTGTATGTACCTGTTGGGTACAATGTTCACTATCTGAAGAATGGGCCACCTGAGACCCAATCCCCACCATTACACAATATGTCCATGTAGCAAACATGCATGTGTACACTCTGAATACAAAATAAAAATGGAAAAATAAAGAAATAGATGGGTATTTCTCTCATTACAAAAACAACCAGCCCATATTTCTGAAACCATACATAAAACTTATTTAAGGCCAAGCACAGTGACTCACCCCTGTAATCCTAGTACTTGAGGAGGCCAAGGTGGGAAGAATGCTTGAGGCCAGGAGTTCAAGACCAGCCTGGGCAACATAATGAGACTCCATCTATACAAAAAAAATTTTTTAAAAGTAATCAGGCGTGGTGGTGCACACCTGTAGTCCCAGCTACTAAAGAGGCTGAGGTGGAAGGATCACCTGAGCCCAGGAGGCTAAGGCTGCAAAGAGCCATGATCATGTTGCTACACTATAGCCTGGGTGGTGACAGGGTGAGATTTTGACTAAAAAAATTAATTTTAAAAATAAATGTTTAAAAAACTTTCTAAGATCTCAGCAAGAATTAGGTTTATTCAATATTTTAATTGATTAGTAGACTATGATTTCATCAATATAAAGCACATAATGTATTTTGAGAAATATAAAAGGTACAGAAATGTACAAAGAATAATCAATTTAGTCATATTTGCTTCCAATAACTTAAGTAATATGACATTACAGACACAGCTAACATTCTCTTTAAGCAAGGCCCTGCCAGTTCCATTCATGCTACCCACCACCCAAGGGACAAATACTGCCATGATTCCATGTTTCATAGTTCACAGATGCAGATCATCTTTGCCATCTGAATTCTCAAGATACAAATTTTCATAAAATCATTTGAAATTTTCTTTTTCTTTTTTTTTTTTGAGACATGGTCTTGCTCTGTTATCCAGGTTAGAATGCAGTGGCATGATCATAGCTCACTGCAGCCTCAAACTCCTAAGCTCAAGTCATCCTCCTGCCTCAGTCTCCTGAGTAGCTGGGAATACAAGCGTGCACCACCATACCTTGTTAATTTTTAAATTTTGTGTAGAGACGAGGTCTCGCTATCTTGCCCAGGCTGTTCTCAAACTCCTGACCTCAAGCAATCCTCCTGCTTCAGCCTGATTTGCAAAGTTTTTACTGAAAACTTGCCTACTTATGGAAAGTCCACTATAATAAGCCAATATGCTTAGACAGCAATGAAAATGTATCGATTGCATGCTAATCTGGGTAGGATGAAGAGTTTGCACTGAAGCCCTTCAAATTCCATATGAGCACAGCCCTGAGTCAGCTATTTTCTCACGTTGTTCTATTTGTTTATTACAGCGCCAATACTACCCTCATTTAATTGTAGTTTTAATATGTTTCAAATTATTTTTTAGAAATGCAAGACCCTTTGCTGTTGCATATTAATTTCAGATTCAATATGTAAACTTCAATGAAAAATGTTTAGAGATTTTGAATAGAAGGACACTGAATGTACAACGCAATTTGGATGAGATGATATATTCACAGTGTTGTCCCATTGTGAATATGGCATACTTCCCTAGTCACTCAGAACTTATCATAAGTCTTTCAGTAGCCCTTATAATTGGTATAAGAATATATGCAAAGTACTATGTACACATATCAAGTGTGTGGTTTTTTTGTTTTTTTTTTATTTTTTTAGTTGAAGTCTCACTCTGTTGCTTAGGCTGGAGTGCTGTGGCACCATGATTACAGCTCACTGCAGGATCGACCTCCTGGGCTCAGGCAATCCTCCTACCTTGGCCTCCCAAAATGCTGGGATTATAGGCGTGAGCCACTGTATCTGGCCTCCAAGTGTTTTAAATTACATTGTAGACATTAAGTTTTGTTTTCTCTTTCTAACAGTTTACAGCTAGGTTGCTATCTGGATTCACACACTAGAAACAAAATTGAACTTAAATATATATTTAATATATACCTATATTTTATATTTGATTTTTGGTGATACTCTTACCTGAAAAAGGTGGAAGCAGACTATTTAGATATGGAACTTTCATTTTCTTCTTTAAACTCAGTAGAAGTGGAATCAGAAAACATATTAATTTTAGATATCCTAACCCTCTTCTGATTTCTTTCTTCTTCTCAAAGTGTTTTTGAATAATCTTTTTTTGGAGACATAATCTTTGCTGTAGTCTCTGGTAGGTACAGATATCAAGGTAGTCCTGATTGTATTTTATAGCATTAGTAAGCCAATAGGCTGTTTCAAATATGAAGACATTTTGATACTGTTGAACTTGTGTGGTACTAAATGTCAACTTTAGCATGATATTTTCAGCATATTTCATAAACACAGCTTTTTCTTCAGGGCTATTGGGATCATATGTTGGATCTTCATTCATGTCTTCATCATAGATTCCATTAAAGTCTGTATCCTTTGTAATATCAATCAAACCTTCACAGCAAAAAAAGAAAAAGTTTAGATAGTGAAAACTCTATGCTTGGCTTCTGAGTAGATATGGAAGGTTGAGCACAGCATTTCATCTTGAAATCCTACTAACATGAGAGTAAAGAATAATTAGATGCTGTAAATTAGAAATAAAATCCTCAACCCCCCAACCAACTGTATGGAGCCCTTTGTTGGTCCAGGGAACTCCAGAGAAACCTTAAAAACTGAGTTCCCAGCCATGAAAAGATGGGAGGTCAGACACAACTTGTTATACCTCCTTCTTTTGTGGTTTAGACACAACTGACCCAGTGTTAACATTAAAATAGTAATCATAAGTTTGATAGAATGGACCGTTTGTGGCACTAAGACACCAAATTATAAAGGAGACCTAAGGCCATGCCATACGAGGGCTAAGTTACACACTCCTACACTTGAAGAATAAACTGTTTTAACTACCAAAAGGTTAATATTTTTCTCTAGCAGCTAAACATGCACTAGCCTTGAGATAAGTAATGTTAAAACAATTGCAGCCCATCTACCGACAGACACTGAAAAACTGACCCTCTGTTCCACATGCCACTATTAATATGACAAGAGACTGATTTCAGAACTTTCTCCAGATAAGAAAAGCAATGACGGTAGACTGGTTCTGGCCAATATACGAGGCTACTCACTGAATGCGTTATTATCCTGCTTCACCTTTTGACATATAGGTCCTAATTGTCATGCATTTAAATGTTAATTCTCCACCCCCAAGTGAGCATGGATTGTATGTAACATACATGTTTGTTCAATAGCACGCAGCAGAACCACCTTTATGAGTATTCACAGCTCCTCCTATAACCTGTTGAATGTTTGTACTCGAATATGTGTACTTGGCCAACCCATTCAGTTTAAATTCCTGTCTGTCTCTCCCTCCTGCCCTGGAAGTGCCTGCTTTTAGGGCTACGCTTTTTTTTTTTTTTTTTTTAAGTTGAGTTGCAATCTCTCTCTGTCGCCCAGGTTGGAGTGCAGTGGCATGCACACGGCCACACCAGCATCGAGCTGCTGGGCTCAGAAATCCTTCTGCCTCAGCCCTCCAAGTAGCTGGAACTAAAAGCACACGCTACCATGCCCAGCTAATTTTTGATTTATTGTAGAGACGAGGTCTTGCCAAGTTGCCCAGGCTGGTCTCGAACCCACGGGCTCAGGCAATTCACTCACCTAGGCCTCCCAAAGTGCTGGGATTACAGTCTGAGTCACCAAGCCCGGCCTAGGGCTACGCTTTTAAGGCCTTAGTTACTTTTCCCAGCCTGTCAGAATGGTCACTTTGCAGGCTGTAACTCTTTATAAGAAATAGTCTCTTTTTCAAATATATAGATATCGTGATTCTTAAGTTAACAATGGCAATAAAATTGGGTAGGATGAAAAGCAGATGGATGAGGTTACTAAGCAGTGAAGAAAAATGAGAGCTTGTGGAATTAAATGGAATAAGTTTCCATTCTCATTGGAAGAAAAAAACACAATATCCTAGAAAAATAACATAAGTCCACTTTTGATCAAGGAAAATATGGAAGAACAACAAGAAAATGTGATATTTTAAAGCAGGAAATCAGCTTCTTACTTGGGCCAAATGCATAATTTGCTTTTCTAGGCCAATATTATATACATTTTTATTTTTTGCTGATTAACAAAGAAATTGTTAACTAATCATGAATTAACAAGTAAGAATTTTTTTTTTTTTTATTGAGTTGGAGTCTCACTCTGTCACCCAAGCTGGAGTGACATAGCATGAGCATGGCTCACTGTAGCCTTGACCTACTGGGCTCAGGTGATCCTCCTGCCTCAGTCCCCCAGGTAGCTGAGACTACAGGTTTGCACCACTATGACTGGCTTAGTAATTCGGTTTGTTTGTAGAGATGAGGTCTTGCTATGTTGCCCAAGCTGGTATTGAACTCCTGGGCTCCAGCAATCTTTCTGCTTTGGTCTCTCAAAGTGCTGGGATTACAGGTACCCAGCAATGAGTAAGAATTAAAACTTGATTTTACTCTATTAACAATTTCAAATTCCTATGTTATACTTTATTGCCATTTACAATGAAACTAAGTACCTTCCTGTTGTCCAATTGTCTTTCTAAGATAGTAATATCTACAAAGTTTCCATTAATCTAGGCTTGAGAAAACTGTTTAAGTCATGACACATGGCTGTAGAAATGAGGAGTTTGTTTGCAACTTATGTGCTTTAAAGTATAAATGATACATCAATACGCCCCTTTCTTTCATTTTCCTTTTTTTCTTCCTCAAAACTTTAAAAGAGCCAGAATACTCTTGGGCTTTTAAAATGGCCACTAAAATCTATCTTCCTATTGCCAAATAGTAAGATAAATTATAAAGAGATGACTAAAAAATGAAAGGAGCCGGTTGCAGAGGCTCACGCCTATAATCCCAGCATTTTGGGAGGCCAAGGTGAGAGGATTGCCTTTTGAGCCCGCTGGTTTGAGACCAGGCTGGGCAACTTGGTAAGAGTTCAATTCTACAATAAATAAATTAAAAAATTAGCCAAGTGTGGTGGTGTGTGCCTGTAGTTCCATCTACCAGGAAGGCTGAGGTGGAAGGATCGCCTGAGCCCAACAGGTTGAGGCTGCGGTAGCCATACAGCCTGGGTGACAGAGTGAGACTCTGACTCAAAAAAAAAAAAAAAAAAAAAAAAAAAGAGAGACAGAGAGAAAGAAAGGAATTCTGAGACAGTCTTAAAAAAATCTAAATATGGGCTCACACCTGTAATCCCAGCACTTCAGGAGGCCAAGGCAGGAGGATTGCTTGAGCCCAGGAGTTCAAGACCAGCCTAGGCAACATAGTGATCTCTCTAAAGAAAAAAAGTCAGTGGGGCATGGTGGTGCACCCCTGTAGTCCCAGCTACTCGGGAGGCTAAGGCAAGAGGATCACCTAAGCCTAGGAGTTCAAGGCTGAGCCTAGGAGTTCAAGGCTGCAGTGAGCCATGATCATACCACTGCACTCAGCCTGAATAAGTGAGAACTCCACTCAAAAAAAAAAAAACAAGAAAGTCTCACATGAACTCCCTTGCCCCCTCTGCCACGTGAGGACACAGCCACAACATGCCATCTGCGGAGCAGAAAGCCCTCACCAGGCACCAAATCTGGCAGTACCTAGATCTTGGAATTGATTCAGAACTGTGAGCAATAAATTTCTACTGCTTATGAAAAAAAATCTAAATATAAGTCAGAGGATTGTTGATGGCACCAAAACTTTGTGGCTTAGGGTAGGTAGGAGTCAACATGCAGCAAATCTTCCCCCATTCCACAAAAAGATGTAGAAATTGGAAGCATCGTGGGGAGCCTGTGAGGAACAGGTCGTGGTGTAAGAATAAAAAGAAAAGGAGAGGAGAGCTGGTTCAAAGTCTGATAAAGGTACTCTTAGACCCAGAGATCATCTTCCCCAGTGAGCATAGCCCCTCCCCCACCTCACTAAAAGGGCCACAGAGCACAGCTAAGGGCCAGGAGGGGCAGCTGTGCTGAAAACAGGGGTGAAAGGAAAGTCTGAGACCCGAACAGGGAGATTCACAGCCCCTCCCGCTCCTTTGGCCCCAGACTCATTGTTATCCCTCCAAGCATGAGACAGGAGGAAACAGTCCTACAGACAAATGTGTAGAGGAAAGGTTCTGACAGAGGGAGGAGGATGCAGGTGTCATGAGAGACATCTCTGAGGAAAGAAAAATGGAACTCGATATTCCATTTTAACCAAGAGGAGTTCACTATTTCCCTCAGAATATTGGGACCAAATAAGTCATAAGTACGTGGGAAACTTGGCTACTTAAAAAAAACAAAAACAGAATTCTTCATGTCCTTAAAAACAAAGTTATTAAAGACAGGAGATGTGATCATAGCACATTATGGACATCAGCTGGAAAGAATACAAAGTCATAGTGAAGTCCATAATGACAAAGGATTTAACTGAATTTGGAAGACACGGGAGGGAAGACAGAAGCTTCTACTGTTTTAACCTGGATGGTAATTTCTCTTAAATGCATCTCCTGCCCTGCTTTTGCTTCTGAACTCCAGTTTATGAGGGGGACCCCCCAAAAAAACAGAATTATCTTTGGAGGGCAGGCTCCTTGTGGTACAGGCTTCCTCCTGTTAGGTAAGAGTTCTAGGAGCCCATTGGCATCAGTGCACCAGCTAGCTTTGTTTGTGAGAGCTTCAGTGAATTTGTTTTTTGAGATTCATTCTGTGCAGCAGCCCATTTCACGATGGGTGATTTACGAGGGTACCTGCCCACACCGTGCTGAGTGTTCAGAAGGTTTTGACCCCAAACAGCATGACCCCTGTGCCCCATCCTCCCTATTCACCTGATCTCACCCGAAGTGACTTTTTTTGTTTCCCTGGACGAAAAAAGTTCTCAAAGGGAAATGTTTTACTGACGTGAAAGAGGTGAAACAAAAAACAACAGAAGCACTAAAAGGCGTCAAAATTGATGAGTTCCAAAACTGTTTGGGCAGTGGAAAAAGTGTCTCGATAGGTGTATTGCATCAAAAGGTGAGTACTTTGACAGTGACTACAGTGTAAACATGTAAGAATACAGAATTTTTTATAAATAAATTCAGAGGTTTTTTGGGGTCTCCCTCTTATATTTAGAAATGCCTAATAAATATCTATCTGTATGTCACAGAAGCACTCTAAGACTAAATTTATCTCTTCTCGTCCCCCAAGTCTGCCTTCCTTATTTCCTGTCTCAGTCAGTGCCACTTCCTTATTTCCCTGTTAGTGTCTCAAATTAGAAACTGGAGTCTCCTTCTCTTACATTCTGTTATTAACTATTTAATTTCGACATGTGTTGAAAGTTTAGTATATGCCAAGCCAGTGCAGAGAATTTAAAAACAAACAAAAAAGACAATTTTCTGTGAGCTCAAGGTCTAATATGGAAGATAGAAATGACACCAATAATTTCAACACAAAACAAAGTATTTTCTGTACAAAGTAGTATGCACAGGTAAGAGACTAATATAAGAGGCAGTGTCTGAATGAAGTCTCAGAAAATGAGTAGTGATAACCCAGGGAGAAAATGAGTAGTGATAACCCAGGGAAGAGTGTGCGAGAGTGAAGTGAGGTGGGCAGGGAGAAGGCATTCCATATGCCAGATGGAAGATGGAGAATGAACCAAGGGATCATTATTTAAAAAAAAAAAGAAAGCAATTTCACATTACTAGCTTCTGTTAAATAAGGTTCCATCTTTTTGCAGTATTTCACTGAAAAGTTGCCCTCCTTTATCTATTTGTCTATCTAGCTAGCTAGCTAACTATTTTGAGTGCAGTGGCATGATCATGGTTCACCACAGCCTGGACATCCTGGGCTCAGGCAATCCTCCTGCCCCCTGAGTAGCTGAGACTATAGCCACACACCACCATGACTGGCTAATTTTTAAAATTTGTTTGTAGAGATGAGGTCTCACTATGTTGCCTAGCTGGTCTCAAACTCCTGGGCTCAAGAAATCCTCCTGCCTCCCCCCCCGCCTCCCCCGCAAGTGTTGGGATTACGGGAGTGAGCCACTGTGCCTGGCCTCCTGCCCCTATTTTGCTATTATAAGAATTTTTCCTCTTTCCCTCCATCCTCTAATAATTTACAAATGAGTCAAAGCAAAGGATTCCTCTTAACTAAAATCCCTTCCCAGAAAACTGGAAAAGATGACAAGATTTTTGTTGTGCTGTATTCTCCACTGGTCTCGCTACTGTTTTTCAGGACTGGTATCACTGGTGGCTTTGGGCAGTGCGAAGCTATCTGAGAGGTAAAGGCTAACTTGGCCAAGGCTGATGCCTAGCAGTTCGCCCTCCCAGAAAAGAGCTGGCTTTCTGCACAGTTTCTTGGAGACCCATTGTAGCACAGTGTTTAAGGCAACAATCACACGGTCAGTTTACAAGGTTTGAACTGTTTCCCAGTCATGCCAACAAAGGAGCTTGCTGTTTTCCCAGACATGACTAATGATGACATAGCAATTGATGCTGTTAGGTTGCCCTCATATGGCTGCAACTGCAAGCCTTGGGCACCAACTCTCTGATCGTGCCAGAGGACAGGAGGTATACTCCCTCAACTGCCAAATGCTGGGCTTGTTACACTGTGTATCGGACACTTCTGTTCCCTACCTGACATCCTTTCAGACCACACTTTTAAAAACTATTTTTAAAAGTGTTACTATTATTTAGAAATAGGTTCTCACCATGTTACCCAAGTTAGTCTCAAACTCCTGGCCTCAAGCAATCCTCTCTCTTCAGTCTCCCATCACTGGGGTGACAGGCCTGAGCCATCACACTCGGCTTCATTTTTACTCTGGTTGTTGCTCCACCCAGATTCAACCTGACTGCTCCTTGCCACAGATATGCCACAAGGAGCCACGCTTGGTGGCTCAGCCTGTAATCCTGCGCCTTTGGGAGGCTGAGGTGAGTGGATTGCCTGAGCCCGCGGGTTCGAGACTCACCTGGGCAGTGAGACCTCATCTCTACAATAAATCAAAAAATCAGCCGGGCGTGGTAGCGCACGCCTGTAGTTCCAGCGACTTGGAAGGCTGAGGTGGAAGGATCGCCGGAGCCCAGCAGGTCGAGGCTGTGGTGGCTGGGAGCGGCCACTGTACTCCAGTCTGGGCGACAGAGTGAGACTCCAACTCAAAAAAAAAAAAAAAAAAAGATATGCCACAAGGCTCTTATTTTTGCCCTGGGGCTTCTCAGCCCCTGATGTGTTGGACTTCTGATGCGACCCATCCAGCCATTCTGATGCAGAGAGAAATCCAAAATGTGAGTTATTTTCCTCCCCTCCAAGCAAACTCTGACCAATGGGAGACAGGAGCCAATGGAAACACTCTTCCCTCTTCCATCCCGTCTTCATCATCTGGGGCTGCTATAACAAAATAATATAGACTGGGTAGCATATACACTACAGAAATTTATTTCCTGTAGCTCTACAGTCTGGGATGACAAAGACCAAGTCAGATTTGGGGTCTGGTGAGACCCATTTCCTGGTTCATAGATGGTGACTCCACACTGTGTCCTCACATGGTAGAATGGACAAGGCAGTTTTCTGGGGCCTTTCATTAAAAGGGCACTCATCTCACCCTTGAGGGGTCTGTTCTCACGACCCAATCTTCTCCCAATGACACTGTCTCCTACCATCCTCACAGTGGAGGTTAGATTTGAATATATGAATTCTGGAGGAACATAAACATTCAGAGAATCGCACACCTCTTAGGCAGACAATTCTGCAGAGTATTCTGTGTGACCCTCAGAGTGTCCCGCAAGATCGACCCCAGTTGTCCCAGTGGTGAAGGCTCAACAGGTCACTCTTGGATGAATGCTCCCTCCTTTTCTACCCATGTTTCCTGTCTCTCACTGCTGTTTGGGTATCATTTCCTGAGTCCTCGTTTCCGGCTCCCATTTGGAGGGTGACCTGGGGAAACACCTTTCTCGTGTATCCTGGCCTCTGACCCTACACTTCCTTAATCATGCAGCATCAAAGGCCCACAGCCCAAGGGCCTGGGCCCCTTTCTCACAGTCTGACTCTTGCCCCTGCAAGATTTCACAGTGATGCTCCAGATGGGGTGCCGATGGGGAACCTACCTGTTCTTGCTGCTGCCTCTGCGTTTCCCTCCATAAACCCCTCTTCAGCAGGTCTTGTGTGTGTGCTGTTCAGTCACTTACTGTTGCTTGCACCACACCATTGCTGAAGGGCCTGAAGCAGACTCCAAAGGGCAGTGGAAAGAGAGGAAAATCTTCCTTTTTTTTTAGGCGATGGGGGCTCACTATGTCGCCCAGGCTGGACTGCAGTTGCTATTAACACCTGTGATCATAGTGCACTACAGCTTCGAACTCCTAGCCTCAAGTGCTCCTTCTGTCTCAGCCTCCCAAGGAGCTGAGATTACAGGCATGTACCACCCTGACTGGCACTTATGCTCATCTTCTCCCCCACCCCATAGACAGGGACTTACTGTGCTGCCCAGGCTGGAGTGTAGTGGTATGATCACAGCTCACTGCAGCCTCGACCTCCTGGGTTCATGTGATCACCCTAGACAAGCCTGAGGGGTTCTGTTGCTAGGGAAAAGGATGTCTTACACTGGAGAACACTGGGCATTGCAGCAGAAATAAAACAAAGTGGATGAGTTTGCAAGATTATTTTAGAAGTAGAACCACAATACTCAAGATGCAAGTTTCAAGTCAGGATAGGAGAACTAAGTAGAAATGTCTAGGACTGATATTTAGCTAGTAACTATCTATAAGGTCACATTGGTTGTTAAAATATTGCTCATACCTGTAATCCCAGCACTTTGAGAGGCCAAGGTGGGAGAACTGCTTGAGCCCAGGAGTTTGAGATCAGCCTAGGCAATGTAGTGAGACCTCATCTCTACAAAAATTAAAAAAAAAAAAAAGTTGGGTGTGGTGTGCATACCTGTAATCCCAGCTACTCTGGATGCTGAGGTGGAAAGATCGCCTGAGCCCAGGAGGTTGAGTCTGTGGTGAGCTGTGATGGTGCCACTGCCCTCCAGCCTGGGCGACAGAGTGAGATCCTGACTCAGAAAAAGAGAAAAAAATGGAACCCTTCCAAAAAGCTGCAGCTTTGTGGCTGATGTCTGTTCTGATTGGTCAGTGCCAAGCTATGTTGGCGGTTAAGTATTTTGAATATCACCCCTGAAAATGCAAGTGTAGAGGACAGACAACATTGGTCTTTGGATGCTCACCCCCATTCTGACTTGGTTAAAATGATCCAATGTGTCTCTATTCCCTTATGACGAGCATCACTGCAAGGGAATCCTCATAGAGTGGGGATCCAGATATGACTGACAGCTGGGCTCAGGTGGCCACGTCCTGAGCAATAGAGTCGCTTGATGTAAACAGCTTTGTGATCAGGTAAGCAGGATGCCTTTGCCCTTAGTTGCCCAACAGGATACATGGTCCTCCCTGCCACGACTATGTCTCTGTTAAAACTCTCCCTGGGAGATGCAAAGGCTCTTGTGATATTAATATGCAAACAACTCCTCCATGTATATCTCTAACCCTTATCTCCCTCTAGAATTTAACTTCGATGTTCGGAATTTACTTCCATAATGGTAATTTCCATTTAAATATCGGAATCTAAAAAGAATTCACAAGACAGGGTGGCTCAAGCTTGTAATCCTAACAGTATGGGAGGCTGAGGCAGGAGGATTGCTTGCAAGGAGTTTAAGCCCAATCACATCTCTAGGAAAAAAAATTGTTTTGAAAGAATAGCTGGGTGTGGTGTCACACCTGCAGTTCCAGCTACTTGGGAGGCTAAGGTGGGAAGATTGCTTGAGCACAGGATTTCAAAGCTGCAGTGAGACATGATCACATAACTGCACTCCAGCCTGGGCAACAGAGTGAGACTCTGTCTCTAAAAAAAAAATACAAATAAAAAGAATTGGTTATTTCTTTACCAGTTTGGCACATGCCTGTTCAGAGAAATGGCTCATCGCTCGAGGACCTCTCCAGGTCAACTTGTAAAAAGAGGAGAAAAGCAAACCCAATTCTTGTCAGGATCGTCAAGGCTCTAACACGGTTAGAAACCACTACCTACTCCTGCTGATCCTTACTCTCCACGGAGCTCAGATCTTCACAAAACCCCTGGCATCATCTTGATCACAGATAAATTACTTTTAAATTTATAAAATGTCTTCTAATTAAAAATAAGGCTGGGCATGGTGGCTCAACCCCAGCACTTTGGGAGGCCAAGGCAGGAGGATTGTTTGAGACCAGCCTGGGCAGCATAGTGAGACCTCGTCTCTACAAAAATACAAGAATTAGCTAATCAGGAGGTTGAGGTGAAGGATCGCCTGAGTCCAAGAGGTCAAGGCTGTGTTGAGCTGTGATCATGCCACTGCACTCCAGCCTGGGCACCAGAGTGAGACCCTGACTCAAAACAACAACAATAATTCAGATAGCTTCAGTTCTTTTACCTGCTGAACTGAACTCTGTAAAAATATCTTTATTTGTCTGAGGTTTCCCATCTGGATCCACATCCATGATGGTGCGCCACAATTCGGAGAATCTGGCTCGTTTCTCTTTGGGCATGTACACTCCATGCCACAGTGCTTTGAGCATGTAGTCAATGTTGATCAGAATTTGCCCAATTCTGGTATCGTAATAAGCTGGAGGTAACTGGCAAGAAGAACTCTGATCATAATTCGCTTCTAAACTGATGGAAGGGATTTGATTTAAGCAGTAGATTCCAACAGCCAACTCCCGTATCATCTGATGGACTTCTCTGTAGTCTAACAGGGCGTTGGGGTCCACGGGAGTCAGCAGGATTGCAGTGGAGAAGCCCACGTTGTTCATCTGACTCATGATACCACACGGGATGTCTAGCGGAGTGCGCACGTTCTCCTTGGTAGACAACCAGCTGACCAGTGTCGTCGTCAGCAACTCTTGGACTTCACTCCGGTCATATTTTTCAAAGAAGGCAGAAGCATTTCTTTGTATTGCTAAGTTTTCTAGGTAGGTTTCTTCATCTGGCACTTGATCAAATCTAGGTAATCCTTTTTTGGACAGTCTTAACATCTCTAATTAAACCTAGCGTATCCTTTTTTGAAGTTTCTGCAATGAATGAAAAGGAAAAGATGGTCAAATCTGCTGTGGCAACGAAGCTAGATTATCTCTAGAAAGAAGTCTGTTCCTTTCACCCTGTTTAGGTTAGTTTTTTCAGGGTCAGCCATTGTCTTTTTCCATCTTAAACTAATTGCAGCATATGAAAGCTGACATCTGAATTAAAATAATTGATGTAGCCGACTCTATCATCAAGTAAGCAGGAGACTGCTGCCTTCTGTTGCCCAGCGGAACACATGCTCCTTCCTGCATGACCAGGTCTCTAATGAGGCTCTCACTGGATGATCCAAAGGCTCTCGAGATTTGAATATGTGAATGGCTTCTCAATGTGTATCTCTAACCCTTATCACACCCAAGAATTTGGCTTCTATATCCAGAATTTTACTTCTATAATGTAAGTTTCAGCCGGGCACAGTGGCTCATGCCTGTAATCCCAGCACCATGGGAGGCGGAGACTAGAGAATTGCTTGAGCCCAGGAGTTCAAGACTAGCCTGGGCAACATAGCAAGACCTCATCTCTACAACAAATACAAAAATTAGCTGGGTGTGGTGGTGTACACCTGTAGTCCCAGCTACTTTGGAGGTGGAGTCAGAAGGGTCGCCTGAACCCAGGAAGTTGAGGCTTTGGTGAGTTGTGATCATGCCACTGCTCTCCAGCCTGTGCAACAGAGTGAGACCCTGACTAATAATAATAATAATAATAGTAATGTTTCTATCTAATTAAATGGAATAATAGCACATGCACCATTAAATTTTTTTGGTATTTTTTTAATAGAGACAAGGTCTTGCTCTGTTGCCCAGGCGGGTCTCAAACAATCTTCCCACCTTGGCCTCCCAAAGTGCTGTGATTACAGGCATGTGCTACTGCACCTGGCCTAGCTAAATATCTGAATCTAAAAAGAATTTGCTGGACATGGTGGCTCACACCTGAAAATCCTAGTACTTTGGGGGACCAAGGTGGGAGGATCATTTGTACTTTTAACATTAATCATGTTCTGCTTTTCAAGACAAGTCAACAGATACTAAAAAGTATGTAAAAAAAAAAAAAGAAAAGAAAAGAAAAGTTAAGTCCCCCCCCCCCCCACTTTCTGCCTGAACGGAAATGCTAAGTTCATGTATGAAAAACTACCTATTCTTTTTGTAATTGGAGAGGCTTTCTTTTGTATGTTTATTTTGTTTTCAAGAATTTTTTTTTCCGTTTGTTTTTTAAGTATAATGACCTGCTAAAAGGGAGGACAGGACAAGAAGCCTCTGCTTAGACTTCAATGGCTTGGCCACTAAATGCGTCTCTGTTCCGGGAATAACAAGAGCCACAACTCCGGCTTACGGAGCGTCTACCACACGCCTGGCAGTTTACAGAGCACCGTGTCATTCCTGTGGCAACTCAATATTCAGAAGCAGACGGTGGTTCTCACAATGAGCCCGCGTCCAAATCACCTG